CTGCCCTCAGCATTTCCCAGGAGGGGTCCCGGCAGAGGTGAGGGAGCCAGCCGGGCTGCCCCACCCGCAGGTCAGAATGCGGCCCACAGGGACGGGGCTGGCTGAGCCCAGAGGGCGTGGGGTGGGGGTGAGCAGAGGTCCCCGAGGGGAAGCCGAGGGCTGGGGGAAGTGGGACCCACGCTGCTGGGGGTGTCCGCGGTGCCTCGGGCAGCGCCGCCCGACTGATGGTCCCTGGGAAGCAGCGAACTCCTTGCCACCCCCAGACCTGTGCCCCCTCGTGGATGCTGCACCTGGGGCGAGCCCTCAGCGCCCCCTGGTGGCCACCAGCGTAAGTCCCCACACCTACTGAATAGATAGGGAAACTGAGGCCCGAAGACTGGCCAGGGTTACTGTGGGAGCCACCTGCCAGAAACAGTGTTAACAAGCATGCGCCTCCGCGGTGAGTGCAGTGTGCATGGCCCCTGGAATCACAACAGCCTGAGTTCTGGAGTCGGGATGCTTCTGGGCCTCTGCCCCTGCTGCAAAGCCTCAGCTTCCTGGTCTGGGATCGCGAGTGGAATGCCCAGCCCACGTGCACCCGCCGGTGGGTAGCAGGCCGCCGCCCCTGCTCGGAGCCCCCCTCCCTGGGGCCTGGTCTCCACCACTAAGGACGGAGGCGCGGGCACTCTTGCATTTGGCAAAGGCTCTCCCCCGGCTTTCGCCAGCGGTGTGGCCTGTGCCTGGCCCCTCCCCGGACCCTGCGCGCCCCCACCCCCAGGCTCCCCAGAGGCCCCAGGGCTGACTGGGGGGGGGCAGGCGGAGGTGGGTTTGCTGACGTTCCTGCTTTGGGTCGAGCTCCTGGCTGCGCGCGGTGAGGAGGTGCAGAGCGCCAGGCAGCAGCTGAGACGAGGCTGGGGCGGAGGCCTGGACAGTCACCCGCAGCCCATCTCCCAGTGCCGGGGAGGCACAGCGGCCCCCCACCAGCACGGCCCCGCCCCTCGTCCACACTACGCCCCACCCAGAAGCGCTGGGAGACGGAGGCGGGGCCTCCGGGCGGCCGCTCAGCTGCTGTGGTAGATGCGCAGGCGCTGGGCGATCTGCTGCCGGCACAGCGGGCAGGTGCGCAGGGGCTGGCAGCACTGCTGGCAGCAGCACACGTGGCCACAGTTGAGGAAGACGACCTGGGCCTGCGGGGAGGGCACGGGCCGTGGGCTCGTGCAGGAACCCACGCCCGCACCACCGGAAACCCCCCAGCCTGCTCCGGGTCTGCTGGCTCGTTCTCTCGGACTGTGAAAACGCACAAACTCCCAGCCCGAGCTAGGAAAGAGGACCGCGTGCATTCTGCGCATGCCCCCCCCCCAACTCCTTGCCCACCCCCGCCTGGCCCCGACGCCCCCGCCCTCTGTGCGGCCCTGCTTATCCAAAGTCCAGCCCCCGCCGGGAGGCACCGGGGTGGTCG